AATACATGAGTGATGGGACAATTTTTCATTGTATATTTCATTCTGTATATTGCATGAAATCTACCTTTGGTCCACATCTGCTAAATACCAATAGCACTTGTGTTCACCAGCATATTTTCAAAATGCTCCCTAGAGAAGGAACCACTGATGTTTAAAAACATTGCTTTGTAAGATAAATAAAGACTTCTTTATTTTATATGACAAAATCATTTGGACTAGCATTTTGCCATAAAATATAGGAACATTGGTCAGACCAATCAGCTTCTGTTTTGTGATGGAAATAGAAAAAAGTTTATTTTACAGGGACCATGAAGGAGGGTTTTTTGTTTTTTTGAAAGTGGTTCAAATGAACTTTTCACCTTGATTCTTGAAAATTAATGGCTTATTTATAACATGCATGTTATAGTATCGTAAACAGCATTTAATTTTTGAAAACTATAATTGTATATAAAAGCATAAATGTGTTGTATGTCTCTATACACAGGAAACGAATTTGAGGCTGTATTTAAGCCCCAAATCATTTATATTCAGTAATATGTACATGTATTTGAATTTTGAATATGTCTTGAATAGAAATTAATTTTATACAATTTAAGACTTGTAATGTAAGAAATTAACTAGCTACTTGTTAACTAGCCACTTTTCTCATTTTGCTTAACATTAAGGTAAGAATGTGCTCTTTTTATACAAGATTTTGGCCTCTTTTAGATGTCTTTGGGCCTAGAGATGTTTTTTAATACTTTGAACTGCAAATGATTTTACTAAATGCCTATAAAAGTAAATTAAAATATTTAAAAGGGACAGTTACTACAACTTGCCTAAAAGTGAACCAGAGACATTTTAGACTTGCTTTTAAGTTACTCTTGAAAGCATATAACCCAGAGTCGATTTCTGTTTTGTTGCAACATCGTTTTCTTTAATATGAGTTAGTCCACATACATTTGGTAAATAGGAAAATGCTGTCAATATAACATGAAGTAGTATTGGTTCACAGACAGCATTCCCTACAGTGATATCATGCAAGCTGAAATGGGCCCAGATAGGCCTTTCAATTGAAAAAAAAGATTTGGTAATAATCTATGAAGATCTTAGGAAAAAATTGGAAAAATCTTGCAGAAATAATAGGAAGAAATCATTTATTGCAAGAAATAGATAGTTCAGTGGCTTCCAGAACCACTGCACTTTGCACTGTGTTAAACAGTTTCAGAAAGCTCAAAATAATTTATGTCTGAACTTGTAAAAAAAGAAAATGTCAAAAAGAAACGCCTCCCCTGCAAACTATTTTTAATTTTGTTGAAGCTGGTCTTAAAAAGAAAACTTCTTTAAAAGTTTACACTTAACAGGAGAAAGTACGAAAATAAGACTCTAAAGAGCAGAACAACTCATCATTGGTGCAAATATTAGTGGAGATTTAATTTTTTATTAAAATTGATGTTTTTGTGGGAACTTAGAAAAATAGCATAGGTTTGAGTACTCTGCCCAATCTTATTTTTACCAATAAATCAGTTATTTTTAGTTGGTGATGTTTTTAAGAATGTGAGTTTTTTTCAAGAACACCCATGTAGACGGCGGTATAGAGGCTCCTGAACCACACACACCCACACCCATTCATCCACTTGTCTGGGCTATAATTTACTAAATGGACTCATTCTTGTGCTACTTTAAAAAGTTTGTCATGAATTTTACTGTGCTGTTCTTGCATATTTGATTTATAGTGGATACATATTTTACTGGATTGTAAACAGATTATACGTTTTAATAAAAATTAATGTACAGCATTAAGGTTTGGTAAATGAAGGAGTTGGTAAAATGAACAAAAAAGAGGCATCACTGTTCATTTAGTGCTGAATACTGTGATTTCTAATTAGCTATTCTAGATTGGCCAGTATTTTATGGAGATTTATTTTACAGTATTTTGAGCATTAATTTATAAATGGGCATAATAAAATAGAACCCTACTTTGGGAGGCTTCATATTGTTAGTTTAAAGTACCTACCATCTGGTTGTCTTCTCCTGTTGTAAGCCAAGGGTTGGAAAACTGACACATGAGCCAAACTGAGCCTACTGTCTGTTTTTATAAATAAAAATTTGATTGCAATATAGCCATGCCCATTTATTTGTGTATTGTTCATACCTTTTTTGACACATAGTATATAGCCCACAAAGTTGAAAGTGTTTACTACCCTTTACAAAAAAATGTATTAATACTATGATAAACAATAGGCAAGACGGTAATGATCAGTATTTTATGATATTTTACAATATATTTTAACCAGTTCTCAGGATATAACTCTTAAAATAATTTTAGGAAAGGTAGAATCAGATCAGCGTGGACATAATTGGGTTTAAGCCACTTCTGTGAGCCTCAGTCAGTTTCTAAGATGATTGGATATTGTTTACTTTTTTTTTGGTATTCTGATATTGTTTACCTGATAAATTCTTTAGTTCATTGAAGGTGATAGTAAGAACATGAAAAAAGCAGAAGTAGATTTTGGTGGGTGTAAAGTTCTAGATGTATTTTACAACCACAGAACAATTTATTTGGATTAAAGAGTTGGGGAATGCTACCTCCACAGTGGAATAAATGTTAGTTTATGCTGGTGAATTTCTGTTGACAAAGACAATGAATGTTACTATTATTTTTGAGATTTGCTAGGGATATATTGTGACTTTTTTAAGCATTGACATTTGAATGTTTCACTGTCTGAACATTATTACAAAGTTGTCTGGCTTTGGATAAAGTTTTTTAAAATATGGTTTTAAAATTATAATAAAAAATATCAAGGAATATGTTATATTTTAAAATTGAAGTAGAAATTGTGATTCAATTAAAATTGATTTATAGCAAACTTTATGAAAATAAGAATATGAAGAACCCACCCCAGCTGGTATGGCTCAGTGGATTGAGTGCCAGCCTGCAAACAGAAAGGTCACCAGTTGGATTCCTGGTCAGGGCACATGCCTGGGTTGCGGGCCACGTCTGAGCTTTTCGAGAGGCAACCAGCCAATTGTTTCTCTCGCACATTGATGTCCCTCTCTCTCTCTTTTTCCCTCCCTTTCCCTCTCTCTAAAAATAAATGAATAAAATCTTTTAAATTTAAAAAGAATGTGAAAAACCTGGATGACATAACTTATAAATATTGTTCCATAGATATCATGTTATATACTCTGAAAACAGAACATTATACCTTCCTTTAAAAGAAAAAACAAATGATTTGAAAATTTTCTCAATCTCATTTCTTTTAAAAAAATTAGTACTCTCAGGTATGTTTCTAGAAATGTAATAAAAACAAAGGCAATTTCTAGAAATTAAATCTAATAAACTCATGGGACAAAGCAAAAATTTCATTTTGCAGTGGAATAATATCTAGGAAAAGTAAAAAAACTAAGTCACTGTAAAAAAATTTTACAAGATTCAATTTGACTACCTCAGAGAAAATACATACCTGGAAAAAAATATATATATTCATTACTTAAGTGAAGTCTAAGACACTTGAAAGATGAACCTAGAGTTTTTTATTGATGTGTTACTATTTTGTCATAGGTTAGAATCTTAAAAATGGAAATGATATTATGGATCTAAGAAATATTTCCTTTCATTGAGAAGCTAATTTCGTATCTCCTTTCAAGAATCCAATATTGAATTCTTCTGGAAAAGTTGAAGAAAAAATGAAGATACTGAGATGAGAAACCTTAGATCTAAATCTTTTTAAAGACTTGGTAGAACTTGTATGATACATTAAGAGTTGTATTGCTTCCTTACAGACTCAATTAGAATTTTTGTGTGAGGTTGTCAGTGACTTATTTCTAAGCTCCTTTGAGATCTGTTCAGAATGAAAGCCTTTAAAAAAATTTTTTTAAACAAAGTTAAACAGTTTTGGTATTCATGAAACTTTGTTATTCTTATTAGATATGCTCTTTATGTTGTTTACATGATTTACATGGGTGTGGGCTGTGAATTACATAAATTGCCTCTGTTACGTTAATATCTTGCCTCTGTAACAAGCTCTTCTGAGTATATATATATATTAGTGCACGGTTTCCTTGCTTTTATAAATCTCATATACCTGTTGCTGTGGATCAAAAAAATCTAACCACTTGAAAACACTGTGTCCCTTTAACTTGCTCTTAGCACAAGGCTGACACAAGGATTTGATTTATCATAAATGCAGGGCACAGCAAAAGTAGGTTTACAGTTTGTATGGAAAATAAGACAATCATTAATAAGTAATATAAGAATAAGCTGTGTTTCGCATACTCACAACTGTAAGCCTGCTTTTGCCCCATCCTGTATAACCCAACCATGTATTAATGATGGAATCTTTTGAACGTGTTTGGAATATTTTGTTGTAAATTTTTATTTCTTTCTAGGACTTGGTTTTGGGTGTATTTTCTATTGATTATTGCTTTAAATTCTTAGCAGCCATCACTCTATTGATTTCATGTAAGTTTATTTACTCTTCAGTGCTTCTAATGATTTTCTGTGTAAAATCAGCTTGAGAATTGATTTCACCTACTTCTTCATTTACTGTTCTAACCTGGATTGTTATGTACAAATTGGGCATCAGTATCATTGTAGGGGTCACAAGTTGTCATTTCTATAAACCTTTTAAGTTATTACAGTCACATTGTCTATTAAAAGTAGTGTTTAGATCTAAAATTCAGATTTACTTTTTGTAAAAAATGAGCTTATTTGAATGTCTGTGATAAAATCACTGAAAAATTTATTGCTTAAGCAACTCTAATATTGCTATGCAGTTGTGACAACTGGTAAAAAAATCTTAACTTGAATATTCAGGGAGTTGGTTTTAAGTGGCACTTTCTTTTGCCAGATTATTTAATAGAATACTAATTTAATAATAGAAATATTTGGGAAAAGGGTAGGGTCAACAATGAAGAATTGGGAGGATTTTTTAAAAAATATGAAAAATATTTCACTTCCGTATTGTACTTGCATCTCATTTTCCTGATAGATTTTTGTTTTGATTTTCTGCTGACAGGTCACATTTAGGGCAGGCAAAACATAAGGGATATAGCCCTCCTGAGAGTAGAAAATCTAATTCTAAGGCACCCAAAGTGCAGTCTAATACTACTGAACTGTCAAGGGGACACCTTTCTAAAAGGTAAATCTTCACATTGCTTATACATTTTCAAGGCAGAATTATTTGCATATGAATCATTGCATAATGTTAAAACTTATCAGTATCCCAAAATGTTATGATACATGTTTACATTATTCTGAGTGTAACTTTTGCAATAATAGTTCATCAACTTTGCAGTGATGTTGATGGAATGTACCCTAAACAATGCATATATTTTCTTGCTTAGATAGGTATGAGGTTCCCCTTTTTCTTAATACATCATTACAGACTTCTGAAATGCCTTTTTGCCATTTTCCTTGGTTTTTAATTGTCAGACCATAGGCCAGTGATTTCTTAAGATCTGATTGATAGGAGTCTTTGGAAAGGAATGTTACTAAAGATTTAATGATATAAAATACAAAAATTTCTAACCTTTACTTTGAAAGTATATAATTTAATCCTTGTTTATTTTACGCTTGAAGTTGTGTTTGCAAATACAGCATCACCATTCTAGTTTCACCTGGTTCTGAAAAAGTATTTTTTTCTTGTAATCTTAGTTCTTGTTTTGTGATTAGGAGTGTTAGTGTCAGTAATCTTTGGGTTAAAGAATAAGCCCGATCTTTGGGCTAAAGAATCAACCTGAACTTTCAATACTTTTTACCATTAAAAGTCACACGCTTTAAAAAATTTTTCCAATTTTGAACCATTTGGAAAACTATATTTATTATTGGACTTAACAGGAAAACTTTTGTGTTTTTTTTTAAAGCACTTATTCCACAGATTTGAGAAGTTAATATTACATAACAGGTTTAATGATGGCAGGCTGATATTAACGCTGTTCTTATCTAACCTCTTAGAAGCTGCAGTTCATCATCTGCTGTCATAGTTCCACAACCAGAGGATCCAGAGAGAGCCAATACTTCAGAAAGGCAAAAAACGGGGCAGGTGCCTAAGAAAGACAATTCTCGAGGAGTGAAACGCAGTGCTAGTCCAGACTACAACAGGACCAATTCTCCTAGCTCTGCAAAAAAACCAAAAGCACTTCAGCATACTGAACCTCCCTCAGAAACAAATAAGCCACATAGTAAGTCAAAGAAGAGACATTTAAACCAGGAGCAACAACTGAAATCTGCACAATCACCATCAACAAGCAAGGCTCATACCAGAAAGAGTGGGGCCACTGGTAGTTCACGGAGTCAGAAAAGAAAGAGGACAGAGAGTTCTTGTATAAAGAGTGGTTCTGTGTCTGAGTCAACTGGTGCCGAAGAGAGATCTGCAAAACCTACCAAGCTGGCTTCAAAATCAGCCGCCTCAGCCAAAGCTGGGTGTAGCACCATCACTGATTCCTCTTCTGCTGCCTCTACTTCCTCCTCGTCTTCTGCTGTAGCCTCGGCCTCCTCCACTGTACCACCAGGTGCCAGGGTAAAACAAGGAAAAGACCAGAACAAGGCCAGGCGTTCCCGTTCAGCATCCAGTCCCAGTCCCAGAAGAAGTAGCAGGGAAAAGGAACAGAGTAAAACTGGTGGCTCTTCAAAATTTGATTGGGCTGCTCGTTTCAGCCCTAAAGTTAGCCTTCCTAAAACAAAACTGTCTCTTCCAGGGTCTTCTAAGTCAGAGACATCAAAACCTGGACCTTCTGGATTACAGGCCAAATTAGCAAGTAAGTTCATGGAGAGATCCTCTTTCTTTAATTAAGAAAATTTCTCTTGATTTGTCAAAGTGATCATGCTTTCAAGATGGTCAGGGGTTTTTTATTGTTTTGTGTGTTCAGTCTGAGGCAATTCTTAGTTGATTACTGTACCTTTATCTGTGCAACAGTACATAATAATTAATACCACATTTAGTTTTATGGAGACAAATAAGGAATGCCGACTTCTTAGTAATAAACCATCATATTTTAGTGTCTGTATCTTTCTTTATCTTTGCAGCATCTGCTACTCATTTCCTAATATCAGGGTTGGTCATCAAGTTGGATTTTCTTCTGTGTACCAGATACAAAATTACTCTAATCGTGAGCGGCTCTTGACCAGGATTAGAAATCAAATGTGGGGGTTTTTTTGTTGCTGTTGTTTTGGTATTGTATATTGTATATTTTCCCACTAGGTAAGTGGGAAAGAATGTTGCTCTCTTGAAGCTTATAGTGGAGTAGAAAGAGCTAATGTTTGAGAATGACATTCAAGTAAAGATCAAACTAGATGGGAGAAAGGGATCTTGATGTACAGTTTTCCTCTCTTTTTTTTCCCAAAAGTCTTCTTAAGGAAGCCGACATTCATTTCATAAGATATGTTGATGAACCATTTCAATTATGCAGTTGCTCTAACAGTAAAGTGTTTTTTTCTTCCTTTTTACTATTTTGAGAAATCGGAAAAGAATAAATACAGAGAATAACACAGATCTTACCTACAATTTTTAAGCATTGAATTTTTGTAATATTTAACCAGAAGCTGGATTTTGATCATCTTTTCTCCTTTTGAGCCCACATAAAAAATTTCAGATCCACATTTTGAGTTAGAACTTTTTCAGGTTATTAGGAGATTTTATATAGTGTCTAATAGGACTCTTCTCAAAGTTTTGAATCATCCTAATATATTGAATATTGGGATGATTCTAGCCTAATATTGAATTAGAGCTAAATGTTAGCTAGCTCTGTTTAGTTTAACCCTGTAACCTATAACTAACTACTTTCAGTTGATTCATTATTAGCTAACTTTTATACTAAATAAAATTTTGTTTAACCTGTGTCATAGGGCTGTTGAGAAAGTAACATCTTTTACTCTCAGATTGTAGAATTTTGTTCTTTTTGGTATTTTAAATTTGTAGTGCAACTGCATAAAACCTTTTGAATTTGAAGGTACAGGCATTGGATTAAGATCAAGATTGGTATCTTGAAGTCAAGAGGCAGTAAAAGGCTGGGTTAAAAAGGGAGAGCAACAGTCCTTTGGGCCTGCCAGTGTGTTTTTTGACGATTACAGTTGTTTGTCTTTGCTTTTATACCTCTTCCCCTCTCTGCTTTAAAGTGAAATAGAGGATTGTGTGCATCTGTGTTTGCACATGTGTGCACGCGCCCGTGTCCCTTTTTGTCTGTCATCATTGCAGTAGCTCTGTGATCTCCACAGTCATTGGGCCAGGTTGAGTTTGCAGCATGCCTCATGGGATTCACTCCTCACCTTTCTGCCTTCTAGTCTACCTCACCTGAGGAGCTCATCTTTTTCAACTCTTTTATGTAGGAGGGTCCAGGCCCAGATGAGAGAGCAGATTGTTCTTGAGTGTCATGTCCTCGCTCTTCTCAGAGACCAGCTTTCTTGATAGAACTCTCTTAACATGATTTTTTAAGGGAAGCTGAACTCTACCAGTGGCCAGTCAGTGGGATTTGTGAAGTTGCTCTCAGGAACACTGGAGAGTTTTGATGCTGTGCCATAATAACACCAATCTAGATAGTGTGTTAAAGTCACTGTACACATGATCACAAAGTGACTTAGTAGTTTAAAAATATGTGTGTGTTCTGTGGTCACTAATAAAGCTTTTGCATTTTCACTGCCACTGTCCTAGTTCTAAGCTCTAATTATAGCCTAAGATGTTGAAACAAGAGAAGGGAACCAGTATTTGTTTAGCATCTAATAAGTGCCAGGTATTTTACATATGCAGACACAATTAATTTAAAAAATAGTGCTTGGTGATAGTTACTGTGAAAATTTATGCCTGAGTTATATCTTATAAGTGGCAGAGTTAGGATTGAAGGCGGAGGAATGCGTGACTTTGAAGCTGTTACTTTGCTGCGCCACTTTGCTGCACCTGTGTTAGTCTCTATTTTTCTGTTGTAGCATCTTTGGATCATTTTTAAAGAGATTAACATAATTTGGATCAAATGTTAAGATCCCAGAGGAGACAAGATTTTATCTAATTTTCCTTCACCGGTATTGATTCCTCTTTAGGGATGTATACTGTGTGAGGTAAGGATTTATACCGTCCCATTCACTACATACTCACTTCTTTTCAAATAAGTGAAAAACATTTCTAAACAACATAATAGGAAATATTCAGTGTCCTTACAAGCACCTGACAATTGGTAAATACTTTACATAAATCATTTCATTTACCCCTCATCCGCCCTATATGGCAGTTACTGTTATTCCTATCTTACAGGTAAGGAAACTTAGGGTCATTGGTCAAGTTACCTATTCAAGGCCACAGAACTAAGAAGTAATAGAGCCAAGCGTTAAACCCAGGTCATCTGAATAGGATTCAAAGAATTAAGTAGATTGGATGAGCTAAATCTAGGAAGGTTTCCTGAACTGAAGTCAGTTGGGTCAGGTGAATTTTAGGCATGATTAAATGTGTCACTTCAGGGAAGTTAAGAAGCAGCACTGCAAGAGAATTGGCAGTATTTGGACATTTTATTTAAGAATATAGGGGCAAAGTGCAGGATCTTAGGGGAATACATCTCTAGGTTTCAAGTAATTGTATTTTGAGGAGAGAGAGCTCTTAATAAAGAGCTAAAAATCCTGGATTAAAACCCTAGTTCTGCTATTTTATCACCTGGTAACTATGGGAAAATTTGTAACTTTTTCATTGTAAAATTGGCACAATAGTTATTTGAGGAATAAATATGTGAGGAGACTTAGCATAGCGCTTTAGTGCATAAGTTGCATCACTAAACTTAGGGTGTACAGCTGAGTTTCATTATCATAAGAGAAAACATTCAGAGCAGTGTGAGAATGAAGGATTTTAAAATGCTAGCCATTTATCAGTTAAAAATGCCTATCCTTACATTTGGAAGATGTTGATTTGAAGTTCTGTTATAGTTTTGTAAGGTTGGGCAAATCATTGGCAACCTAATCCCTAATCTTATTTGCAAATGGTAGTATTCTTGTGAAGCATAAATAAAAGAATGTATGTGTGAAAAGTTTTATAAAATTAACGCACCATATAAACATAATGGTGCATTGAGAGTTGTTGCCATATATTTGAAGGGCTTCTGTATGCATCAGGTTTTTTTGTTGTTGTTTTTTAAACATCAACCTAGGGATCATAATTAGATTCAGTGGTTAGAAGTTGAGAAACAGATTTCTGATTAGTATATCTCAGGGAAACAAAATCTGTAGATTATCAAAAAAGTGGAATGGACCTATGCTTTGTGATACAGAATGCAGTCCAAATTGGGTAGATTGTTTTCTTCAGCTTTTCAGAATTTGTGAACTTCATGGTAAAGCTTCACGGTAAAGCAGATTTTTTCCAAATGGTAGGAATAACAGTACTTAAAAGATGCTTTGTGAAACCCATTGCCCTGTGGTCAAATATCATCACTCAAGGAGATTCGGAATTTGCATTAGCATAGGAAAGCTGTGAGAAATCTTACAGTAACTTCTGCCTAACTCCGTATTTTATAAGTTTGATCACCTGTATTACCTTGAAAGATAGCAGTGGGTTGTGGAACACACTTTGGGAAATGATGTAATACCTTTAGTCAAGACACTTAAGGAGGAGGATACTTCCCCATGTGTTGTTTCTGCAACATTAATGGCCTGGTGAACCCTCTCCTAGGGAGGAACTAGGTCTGGCAGAAGAACTAGTGAAACAGCTACTTTTGTGATGGGCTTCCTGAAGCCTTTGGCTTGCCAGCTGCAGGGGAACAAAATAACTTAGGGACAAAGGTCATCCTATATCAGTTGGTAGTAGTCTCGAGGTAATAGTCCAGAAAGGATAGTGTTGTGTGACAATTTTTTATATGCATTAGGAAATTATCCTTGATACATGTTGTTTAACCTAAGCAAACAGACATTCTTAACAATTTATATGACATAAGTGTAAAACCAGTGGGACAATGTAATGAGACAAGTGGCTTTTAGAAATGGTTTATAATGTTTTAAATATAATAATTAAAAATATTTTCTTAATTCGCCTGGTTTCAAAATATGTTTTGCTAATCTATTTTCTTTTTAAATAAAGCAAATTTTGAAATAATCTGACTTCCAAAGTGTGTATGTCTGAATAGTAGAAGGTGATGGATGGCATAGAAATATAGGAAACAGTGTGTGGTCAAAATTTGGATAATTATGGAGTATTTTTTACAGAAAAATTTAAAGGTATTATATTTCCAATCTGATGCATCTATTTGTAGATCCAGTTTTCTTTTCATTATTTAAAGTGGATATCTTGTGCACATTATTAATAGCCTAGTCAGTAGTAGTTACTAGCTTTTTTCCAGCTTGAGTTTCAAACTCTTCTGGTGACTTGCAAGCAGCCTGTGGCCATTATTAGAACTAGACAGGAACCAGGCAGGTGCCAAATTCTGGGAAGGTAATTTCTGCTCGGATTAGGACTCTTTCTATCAGTCTGAGACATGGTACTTTGCACCTCTAGCATGGGAGGAGGAAATAAACATGATTTGAGCAAGAAAAAGGAATTTAAAAGTTAAACTCTTGGTTTCAGCTAGTTAGTTGGGGCTTATAGGGTCATCCCTACTGAGTTTACAAAGTTGAATTATCTTTTAGTCTCCTGAGGAGTTTAAAGGGAAAGGGCTGGGTATTAAAATTTTTCTATATTGTAAGGCAGCTGTTAAAATCATTGCAACTACTTTGAAAAATTACCAGCAATTCCTGAAATAGATATTAAAATTTAAAAACTGGGTTTCCTTTTTTTTTTTTAAGGTTAATATGTATT